CATAGTTGAGAACGGTGGTAAGCACCCAGCTAGCCTAACTTCTTTGTTATATCTACTGAGGGAGAAAGGGGGTAGAGGCCTGCGTTCAGTCGAACACAAGTACAAGATCACTAAAATCAAATCGCTACTGAAATTGTATCAGAATTCGGACCAGACTGTGGAAGAAGTTAGAGAATTTGAAGAACATGCCATGGCATCAGGCCACCAGTCGCTTGTAAAGAAACTAGCTAATTACGCTGAAGAACTCAACATCACACTTCAGCTAGATATCCTAAATCCCGTGTGTGTTACAACGGAGGGAAAGTTGGTGACTGCAGAAAGAGTTTGGAATCTGTTGATGCAATCTCAAGAGAAGCAGTTCTTGGAGATCGCTTAAGACAAAAAGTGGCAAGGAAATTTATTCCGTATCAGATGGGAAGATGAGAGCCTAAGCATAACCCGCTGCTCTGCATGGTTAAAAGGTTGGGCTACATGCCCTACATATACCATCGCGGGCATGTATGAACTGTATGAGCAGTTGTTACCTACGAAGCTCTACACAAAGGAGAAGACGCAAACCTCCACCGACGCGACGTTCTATGTAGGTTATGTGAGAAGGCAGCTGAGAGCGTTGCACATGTACTGGATGGATGTTCTTTCCTGGCACAAACCAAGTACCTAGACAGGCATAAAAATGCAGCTGTGAAAATTCTGTGTTTTGAGCTCCTGCTAGAGCATGGGTTAATAGAAGAGGTTCCACCATGATACTCACCGGTGATGCCAAAACCAGCCTACCAGAACACCACGAGTGAGGCGTTTTGGGATATTCCCATATATGTAGAGCACAACGAAGTTAGAGCAAATCGAATCGACGCGCGACTTGTCAGCCACGAGAGGAAAGAGGTCTGCACAATTTAAATGAGCTGCCCATGGATTGAGAGTAGAGCCAAGAAAGATGAGGAAAAGACACTCAAGTATGGGCCCATGATGTGGGAGCTGAAGCAGAGATACAATGGTTACAGGGTTGAACAGTACAACGTAATAATTGACGTACTGGGTGGTTTCTCTAAACACCTAGAGAAGTCGGTGAGGAAGCTACTAGGAGCAAGAGCACGGAGCGTACCTGAGCGGATGCAGAAGTCGGTCATCTCAAACACTTTGAACATTGCCAGAACATTTAAGATAAATACTTGGTTAGGGCGCTATTAAAGGACACCAGATTTTAGGGGTTTTTTTCTCTAGAAATCCAGAAACACAAGTGTACTGATGTTTTTACTTAGATTTTATAGAGTATTACAGTTTGATATTTTTCTAAATAGTGAAAATAGGCTTTTAGTAGAGATAATCTCATTATGATGGTCTCGTTTAGGTATATAAGAGATAATGAAAGTAATTACTATAAAAACTGAATAATTTTTCTAAATAGGCTTATAGTAGAGATAATTATATCATCGTGTCTTTGCTTAGGTTTTACAGAGTATAAGAATTTAATAATATTCTAAATTGGCTTTTTAAGTAGAGAGATTCTTATCATTATGTATATTAGGATTGTATTAGGTTTCGTACCGACCTTTTTTTACTTCTAAGTATAGCTTCTCAAGTGGTGTAGGTTACGTTATNAAATGAGCTGCCCATGGATTGAGAGTAGAGCCAAGAAAGATGAGGAAAAGACACTCAAGTATGGGCCCATGATGTGGGAGCTGAAGCAGAGATACAATGGTTAAAGGGTTGAACAGTACAACGTAATAATTGACGTACTGGGTGGTTTCTCTAAACACCTAGAGAAGTCGGTGAGGAAGCTACTAGGAGCAAGAGCACGGAGCGTACCTGAGCGGATGCAGAAGTCGGTCATCTCAAACACTTTGAACATTGCCAGAACATTTAAGATAAATACTTGGTTAGGGCGCTATTAAAGGACACCAGATTTTAGGGGTTTTTTTCTCTAGAAATCCAGAAACACAAGTGTACTGATGTTTTTACTTAGATTTTATAGAGTATTACAGTTTGATATTTTTCTAAATAGTGAAAATAGGCTTTTAGTAGAGATAATCTCATTATGATGGTCTCGTTTAGGTATATAAGAGATAATGAAAGTAATTACTATAAAAACTGAATAATTTTTCTAAATAGGCTTATAGTAGAGATAATTATATCATCGTGTCTTTGCTTAGGTTTTACAGAGTATAAGAATTTAATAATATTCTAAATTGGCTTTTTAAGTAGAGAGATTCTTATCATTATGTATATTAGGATTGTATTAGGTTTCGTACCGACCTTTTTTTACTTCTAAGTATAGCTTCTCAAGTGGTGTAGGTTACGTTATGCGCCCTATACTACTCATAATGTGGACAGCATTCCAAAGTCTTATACTGCGGGATGATGTTGATGATAATGATAATAATAATAATAATAATAATAATAATAATAATAATAATAATGACTTTATTACAGTGTTTCCACCGAAAGGTGGCTCTTCATCTGTAAAATTTACATTAATATTAAAAATAATAATAGTAATAATAATATTAATAAAAAGCTATAGCCATATTTGGATATTTGCCATCCTTTCTCACCCTGGGCGATAACAAAATTCTGATTAACTTTTTAGGGATTACTGCGTATGTATGGGGTCGTGAACTAGGGGCAGGGGAGTTCACCATTCACCTTAGCCCTTGGGAATCGGGAATTCTCTTTCTTTCTCTTGTACAATACGTGAGTGCCTTGGTCACTGGCCACGAAGGGGGTTCGAAGGGTTGCAAACGTCTAGTGCGTGACACTATTTTTTTTTCCGTTGCAGGGGCCTTTGATGTGGACTCAACATTGGATTTTGACCTTGATCACATTGCTGGTGTGGGAGGTCTTCCGCCTGACGTCACTTCCGGTATCTTTTGGCCGTAAGTGGACTGGGTGCAGGTGATAGTTCGGTTGATATTGACATGACTGGATCGCAATCAAAAATATAAACCTTGTAGTGAAGATTGAAGGAGGGAAGAGAGAGTGAGAGCGCGAAAACTTGGTCATAAACTTGGGATTAATGTTTTCAAAACTTGGGATCGGTACAGGAGGAGCCCTGATGGGCCTCTGACAAGTATTGAGTGCTCGTTCGTCTTAGAGAGGTGTCCTTGAGTTACAGAAAATAACTAAAGAAAAGGAAGGATCCTAAGTGTCATATTAGGGACGTGACGATACTGCGACGGCGACGGCAACAAGAACGTCAAAAAGGTAAGGGGTGTAATAAGCAAACCAACAACTCTGCACCTGCATCACGCTTTGCTGTCATTTTTTTTTGCCATCCCTGCTAAGTGAAATTACCAAGGTCATAAATTTCACTGTTTCGTTTTGAGCTGAGACGCGGTCCTCCCTCTTCAGATCCAGCTTAATTTCCCTTCTGAACGAGTTGGAATAATGGCAAAAGAGTTTGAAAGGAAGCGAAGTCAGGGTTTCAATGACGTTTTCACTGCTTCACCGTTTTCAGATCGTAAGGTCCCTATTTTAGATGTGCGTCTTATAGAGGTATGCTTTATAACAGAGTTGACTGTATTGTCTTTAATGTAAATAATGTATATTTATATTTTCATATTACTAGCAGAAGATTAAAATAAATTGTATCTTAGAACAAAATTTGGTGAAATTTCAGTCATTACTTTTTGATTTGTATTGTGTTAAAATTTCTACTGGTTTGGTCGTCTTGTGCCTTTAGAGCAAAATGTGTTTAGACGCACTTTTGCTCCAATCCCTGGCGCTCATTCTCCCCACCTCCATTCCCTGCCCCCCCCCCCCCCCCCCCTTCCCTCCCCCCCCCCCCCCCCCCCAGAATATCCGTGTGAATACGTTTTTGAAGTCAAATCAGAGGTCAATTTAATAAAACTTTTAAACTTGTAATTTAAAAGTGTAGCTATTGTTTAAGAGTCTGAAAACAATAACTACAGTTGTTAATTACACTTGTAAAAGGTTTATTAAATTTACCCCGGTATCGATACCATCGATGAGAATGACGTCATGAGGTCGCCATAACGTCGGGATATTATATCGTTAGCTTTTACTTGTTTATGTATCTCAAAATTAGTATTTATAAGACGCCGATATCGGTAGCTTTTTTCGAGACTAGACGTTCGGACTGGTCATCAGTGACAACAAAATTGTTTGTTGAACTGTAAACTTGATTTCTTACAGCACTTCTCACGAGACAAACTGACAAGTACATTTGTTTCACTTTGTGAAGAAAAACTTCGTTTGGACGATGACCGTCCCCGTTTCAGAACTGAGCCCGGAAATAGGACTACCTTTTTGCAGTGATACCCCACTGATATTATTCAAAGAGGAAGAATTACAGGACACCAAGGGGAGGGGTGTGGGAAGCAGCCCTCCTCTCCCTCCCCCCATCATCCCTGGGGCGATCTGATAATGAAGGGACTATGGGATTGGGCGCTGCTAAGGACCTGTTACGTCATTCAACTTCCTCTATCCTGTTTCGATGCAGTCGCAATTCGTGTTTTGAAATAACCTCCGTGGTTTCACATTTTTCTTCGCCCACCCCTCCCCTCCCCCTTTTGTACATGCCCCAGTCAAACCCTTCATTGTTAACAGTTGCGTCTGACGTTCAGCTCATTCAAACTCATAATTTAACGCCATGCAGACGTTAGCAGTTACCTCTGACGTTCAGCCTAGTCAAACTCTTTATTTTAACTCTAGTCTAAACGTAAGCAGTTCCGTCTGACATTGGGTTTTTATTGCAACAGGCGCCTGATATTGTAGAAGTTTGCCCCCGCAACAAAATCAGAAAACTCGGAAAATGCGTTTTACGATCAGTTTTATCGCTGCACTTTTACAATGTATGAAAATCATTTAATCTTCCTTTTTGCTTTCTCTTGAAAAATACTTATAGGAATAATGTCAATTGACAGACGAAACGAGCACAGTTCATGTCGAACTTGATTCAAGTGAGAAAGATGGTGTAGCAAAATTCCCTTTAATCCCTTATATTTTTTAAAACCCTACGATAAAGCAGCAATTGCGTCTCTTCAGTCACACAAAGAGAGCATAGACATCAGCGCACACTTTTCCTCCGTTGTGTCCTTCCCATGGTAAATTCGCCAAGTCTTCACCGTACCACACACGCGTAATTCTTGGTTGGAATTGACCAATTTCGGAGACGAAAAGAATGGCAGAACAAGCTCAGGTGAGAGGGAATTATATCCGGGAACCCTGTACCAGTTGCCCTCGCTGATGTTCCTTAACTGAATTGGCGGGAGTAGAATGTTATTGCTTGAGTTTGTGATGAAGGCGTTGACTAGAGTGTTTAACCCCATCCACGGATTGTCGCCACAGCCCCAGTAGGACCAGAACGATGGGCGCTGAACGTAACAGGACACGTATCCGTACAGATGTACCAGCTTTATGGCACCTAATCTTCCTCCCGGGACGTAAAATCTTCCGAACTGGTTGCCTTTGGCTTCAAAACATACTGGCCACTTGTTTACTTTGCGCCAGCGAACTGCAACAAGATATAATAAGATGTAACTTCTCTTAAACTGATTGATGTTTAACTGGCTGCAATTTAATTCGATAATCTCTCTTGTAATTTTTTTCCCAACAGTTTTATTTAATTTTGCAATTCGGTTGATGGTAATTATGCCGATAAGAAGCGATTTCTCAAGACATTTAGATATTAAACTCGGATAACGGAAGTTTTAGGCGACAACAGTTGAGAATAAAAATCAGTCATTGTGATGTTGAATGACATCTCGCTATTCAGTCTTCATGTCATCATTTTCAAATTCTAAGTTCCATTATACATAATGAACTCAGGGACTTAAGATACAAAATGCTACTAAAAATAATAAATATAGGTCATTTTTATCAAGTACTCAAAACCTAACTGAGGTGTCTAGAATGTTCGTTTAATCAAAGATCTTCGCACCGGTGGAATTGTTCTGGGTGTTCAAGCGCCGTAGATTGCGTTAAAGAGCTCGAAAGAGCAGTCCGTAGTCAAGGCATTCAAACTTTTCTTGGGACCTATGATAGAATGCTAAATTGACTTTCTTTTGAGTTACGTGCTTAATTTTGGTTACGATAATCATCTCAGGGAGAAAACAACGACTGAAGTTAGAGATATGATTTAGCTTGAGAACTCGCGCGGTGGCAGGGGCACCCAACGAGAATATAGTTCAAAACCACTTAAACATTCAAACAGACTGCAAATTATAGTAGTTGCTAAAAAATATATCTACGTGTTGTATTTTAGTATTTAAACGGTAGATATAGGCATATTTTATCCCCTAAAATTTTTTCATCTATTCGGATTTCCTAGCTGAAAGTCTAGTGATCCGTAAATTATAGGAATCAAAACTTACCTTTTCGAAAATTTCAGCCAGAAAAATTCTAGGTGATCTTTTTAAGGTAAAAATCCGTTAAAAATGGGCAATTATACCATTGTTTAGACGTTCGAAAATCCTAGGAGAGGCAGGCAAGCAAGAAATTTTACAACAAATGTTCCGAAAGTTCTAGATCTCAAATCGTCTTCCAAACAGATATTTTCCGCGTCCGTCGAGCGAGAAAGAAGCTCACCGAGCAGATCAAAGGACTTTAAGTCCAGTGATTATTCAACAAAGCTGAGTGGGTTCCTCTCTTAAATCTGTTCTGCGAATCAGAACGGTAATTTACCGAGGGATCATCCGGCTTTGACACGAGCGCTTGGCTGTCTTCTTGCCGGGGAATACTTTCCGCCAACAGCGTCAACACGCCGAGAGAAAAAACGAAAGCAAAAACCAAAATCAACTTCATTGCTGGGTAGACAACTTGAATAACGTACTCAGTCTAATATGTGTTGTTTGAAAGGCTGGATGTGAACGAACGTCTGGCAATAAACTTTGTAATAGGAAGGGATATTCTCGCAAAATGTCGCTTCTTTCAACTAAAAACCTACTTCAAAAGTTATTGAAAGCCATATATGTAGGGGGAGGATTTATCTGTAGCATACGAGTATATAAAAAAAATTAATTGGGCAACCCTTACACAGTAGAACCCCGGTACTTTTTCAGCACTTTAGTGTTTAGTACAGTGCAAATTTAACTTATTTCTTCAGAAACGGTAAAATCATTGTGCATTTTTATGCTAAAACGTGATCTGTTCGTTGCACCAATTAAAATCAAATTGCTCAAGTGTTGATTAGTGCCAGTTAATCAATCAATCATTTTTTTTTTAGCACGTTACTGATCGAGGAGCTAAAAACTCGTTCAAAATACGAGCGTGTAAAAATAAAATCTATAATGATTACAGCTAGAAACTCCTCACGGAGAGAGAATGGAAGGCCCTCGCGTAGCTGAGGTTCCTAACTCGCACGTGGAACGTGCGAGCTTCGCACCGCGATGCAGAGACACGAGTAGGCCTTTACAGCACATGTCAAAGAGGAAAATCTTGCCGTCAATTAACTTATGTATAGATATCCACCAAGAGGATTTTGAACGAAATCCGGTCCCCGCAATGTTTCACTCCACCAGCTCTAAATATTTCAAGGGTTTTATAGATTGTCAGTCAGTTCTATTTATTGTTGGGATGTTGTTAGCCTGAGAAAACAGCCGACATTTGGAGACGCTACCACTGGTTTCCCCGCGAAATGACGTCTGAGAAAAGAGCGTAGAAGTTCCATACTGATGACTCGTCACTACCCAGATTTGGGTACTGCTTCTAATTGGTCGTGCCGCCTGGGAAATTTGATTCAACCAATCAGAATCGCTACCAGATCTGGGTAGTGACGCGTCATCAGTATGGAATTTCTGCGCTCTTTTCTCAGACGTCATTTGGTGGGGAAACCAGTGGTAGCGTCGCCAAATGTCGGCTGTTTTCTCAGGCTAGGGTGTTGTTTTAGGATAAAGAAATAAATTGCAAAAACCGTGGACAATGATCCTGCTTGCTGTCAACATTGGATCTTAAGAAAAGAGATGTAATCAGCTATAATATCAAGAGGAAAAAAAAACAGAAGTCCAAAGACTATTGCACCGCTGATAACAACATGTAGTGAAAACGTTTTCAAACTATATTGCGGTAGGCCAGACCAGCCTTCTTCAGGTTTACAAATGTTCATAAATTTCTCATAGGAATGTCCGAATAGAAATTGTATATTTAAAAGGGAGAGTCGGAAATGACATATAACATAAAAAGGAATTTAAAAAAATCTAATAAATGATATAGGTTACAATTCATCACGTCGGTTAAGGCCATTAGGTTCGACCCTCCAATTCAATTTCTGTTAACATGGTTGTCAGTTAAATTATTCACAGATATCCATCTATCAACATTTTGAAAGAAAAACCCCTCAACCTCTTAATGGTAATGTTTTACCCACAGGATCAGGCTCGTTTAAGATAAAAAGCCAGCATATATTTCCCCCAGCTTCACAGCCTAGTCCATCATAATGACACAAAACAATTTAAAATCCGAATAACGTGGCAAGTAATACGCGCACGTATTGTATGCAAATTAACATCCCGTAAAAACAAAAACAGAACTGCCGTGTACAGTAGATTAAATTAAAATACAACAAATGATAATGCTAAAAGGAAAAGGATGACTCAGTCGCCTCAGCTTTTATTTATTTTTTCCAACACTGTACTTAAGTGCGGAAGGGTTGGGTAACGTCTTGTAGGTTCATTCGTGCTCGACAGTTTGGTAACTATTCTAACTCTTCGCTCTCTGAAGGTTGACTTTACCTTTACCTTTAACAGTTCGATTTACTTTGATTAAGATTATTTTTGTTTAAAAGCTTTCTGAATTCATGGCTAGGTGCAAAGGAAGCATTTCTTGATCAAATTTAGAAATTCTCTTCCTAGGTTGGTTTTCACGTTTCCACTAACTGGTGGGTTGAACCATATTTTGTTCCTCTGCCACTTTCTCTTTCTGGTGGTTGATTCTGGTAAATACTGTTTTGGTGGGGTGAATTTTCAGGGTGTGCGAATAACCCCTTTTGCGCGATGCTTCCTGGTAGGGTGGTGCTGCTTCATTCAAGGCTTCTTCGTCTGATGAAATTTCACACAGCCTTTTGTTAATTGCCTCTGTCAGGGATGTGTTTTTATGCATGGGGGTTGGTTAGATTTACTGTGGACATAAAGCGGATTGGTTGTTGGCTTCGAATAAGGCTTGTATTTCTCTGTGGTTAGGTCTAGTGTTACGTCAAGGAAATTAACGGGGGGGAGTTGGTCAGGAACTGCTAAGCTGTCATCTCTGACGCCTAGTCACGTCACTGATCTAGCACTGAACTTTCAATCTACATTGTTAATGGCTACTGCATGAGATTGACAGTCTCTTCTAGATGAATGTGGTTTCCGAAAGGGGTCACTGATCAGTTTGGTAACAATTTTAACTCTTTTCTCTTTGAAATTAACTTTACCCTACCTTCAACAGTCTGATTTACTTTCATAGCCCACATTTCCAACTTCGTTGCCCATTGTTGCAAAATATGATGAAACGCTGTGCGTTCTTCTGTTCGATTTGCATTAGTGGCTTCCATTTCTTTTTTTATATCCGCGATCATCCGTTGCATCTCTTGAGTTTGTATTGCATTCGTAGCAATTATTTCTTTTTTTAAATACGTGGTCATCCGTTGCATCTCTACATTTTTTTTTTCGTAGCCATTATGTCTTTTTTTAAATCCGCAGTCATCCGTTGCATCTCTTTAGTTTGATGTACATTCGTTAGATTCGTAGCCATTATGTCTTTTTTTAAATCCGTGGTCATCCGTTGCATCCCTTCAGTTTGATTTTCGTAGCCATTATGTCTTTTTTTAAATCCGTGGTCATCCGTTGCATCCCTTCAGTTTGATGTTTCGTAGCCACTATGTCTTCTTTTAAATCAGTGGTTATCCATTCCCCAGTTAGATTTCTTACTTCCTTTGACTTGTTCAGATGTTTCATCTCATCAAAAACACGACCATCTTGACCACCTACGTAATTGATAAATGACAAATTGTAAACCATTTTTTTCATTTTAATAAGTTTAAACTGAAAATTCTGACTCCACTAAAATTCAGTTATCTGAAGCAGATCTATCCTAGTTAAGTTACATCAATATTATGCTACCAGCAATATCTGGCATTATGCTACTACATGAGAAATTTCTGCAATTTGATTGGCTTAGAGCAATGGCTTAATTTGAAATACCTACATGTGAAAATTACAAACCTTTTACGGGTTGGTAGTAGTATAAATAAATAATGGCATGATTTGTACGTGATATTTGGCATTAATACCACGAGTGATATTTCGAAATTGTTAAACGTAATTTCACGAGCGAAATGCGCAGCGGAGCACAATGAGTAAGAAAATTTGGTTATCTATGCATCTAAAAAATTTTGGTTGTGACGTAATCGTCCGTACGTACGTACGTCCGCCCTTTCATGTTAGCTGAGGTGAAATTTTTCATTTCAAGCATCCCGTTTGTTTCGGCGGTAAATCACATGGCCACACAGACTTTTAGAGACAGAGGAAATCAACAACAAAAAAGCCGAGTCTTTCTTTCGACTAAATTTGAATGTCTAAATTAACGTGGATAACAGGGAAAGAGCTAGAGTGAGAAACAGGAAAAAAAACAACGGAGACCAATTTCGTTGGAAGAAAAACATAAAAATTATATAGCGGCGGGGAGAAAATGAGAAAAGCTAGCGGCTTCCAAGGTGAAATGAGCGGCAGCGAAAAAACAGTGATACGGAACACAAACATTTCCTCCATAAAACGTGTAACTAGGAAGCTAAAAGAAGTTCCACATTTTAGTCGTGCAAAACAACATCAAGGAAATGCTCAAAAAAGTGTGCTGCACGTGCAAAGTAGTTTTTTGGCTAATTATAATAAATGTGTAAATTTGTCTTTTTGCTATAATTAGATCTATCTAAATGCTTAATGTTTTTACCTTTCTCGTTGTCTTCACCGTTTCTTTAGTATTACTTGATTTTATATTTTCTTTGAGGAAACTACAAATATTAAAGAAGGTTTCGCTTTTAGCCCTGGCTAAATCTGCATATTATTCTAGGCTAAAACTTGGGCCACGCCAGATACGAAAAACCAGCCCTGGAGGTTACTTGGGTTAATTTTTGCTGGGTATGTGCCGCTGGCCTCTCAGAATCTCTACCCCATTATAATCTATTCTGTGGCTCTGACTGGTATAAAAAAGTGTAAGGAGTTGGGCCGCGGGGCGGACCCTCCTTGTATAAAACTATATTGAGTATCCCTCAGGCCTTTAGGGGTTTAATTTAAATTTCCGACGAGGATCCCTGTCACTTTTATATGGGAGCCCCTCCTCCCCGTCCCCGTACCACATTTAACATTAGACTTGTCTTGTTAAGAGCTCATAACTAAAGGGATGATACGGACAGCTATGTTTCGCCCTTTTGGAACTTATTAGCGTATCATAGCCTAGCCTGTTCCCTGGCTCCAAGATGGTAACTTGTAGTCGTGCAGTAAACAGTTATGCGAAAAACGCGCGCACCGCCCCCTTCCCCAGATCGAGCGCGTCTTATTTTCGCAACGTCCCTAT